AAACAGAAACATTAAATCAATCAATGGTTGAACTGGAACTCTGTCGGACCTTGGGCCTCAGGTTGGGGTGCAGCAGGACGTAACCGTTGGGGTCGATGGCGTAGGTGTAGCCGTTTGCTCCGAGCTGCAGGAAAAAAATAAAACAAACGGCAGATAAAAATCCTCACGTGTTCATTTGACTCCGAAGCTTCAAACCGACGGAGTGAGAACTCACTCTGTAGGTCGGAGTCTTCTTTTTGATTTCGTTGATCGCGACGTCGACGCCCATGACCCCCAGGATGAGTTGGTTCTGTGACAAAAACAAGAAGAACGAGAGAACATCTGTGACACGGAGTCGTACCCACGACCGTCAACAACCTGAGCCCGTGGGCTGCCGTCAGTCTGGGTGATGAACCAGAATGAAGACGTGGTCACGGACACTGAGGTCTGGAGTCCTGCCATGTCAGCTGTGGCCTCAGGGGGGAGGTGTTGGCTAAGACACAGTCTCTCATCCACCATTTGTTGTTGTTGTTTTTACCTGAGAGGTGACGACGTCCCCGGTCAGGTTGAACACCGGCATGGTCCCAGTGATGACCAGACCCAAACCCTGGTCAAACATTAAAGTCCAATTAAAAAACAGCTTTGATCTTTTCAACACCTGCAGAACTCAAACAGGAAATGACTCAGAGGTCGACGAAGACGGCAGAAAAGCAGTGGACAGAGATTACTGCAGTACACATCATGTACTGCAGTAATCTACATCATGTACTGCAGTAATCTCACAATACATAATGTGTACTGCAGTAATTACTTAAATCTTGAAAACAAATGAATTCCTTTTCTGTTTTTTCTGTGTATTTATGTGTGTATTTTTTTTTTATCTGGACGAAGGGTGTTGTTTTTTCAGAGACTCGTCTGATTGTCTGGTTCCTCTCTCACCAGCGCGTCCTGGTAGACGTTCGTCCACTGCACCTGCTTGGCTCTGGACCCGGCCAGCGCCATGGGACGACCCAGCACGTCCAGATACTCCTGCGGCAGCGAGGACGGTGACACACAATAAACAGCGGTGATTGAACAGATGTTTACAGAGCGTGTCGTGTTCAGACGTTAAAGGCAAAGATGTGGAAACGAGCGCCCGGCGTTCATCCATCATAAAACCCAGACCCTGACCGCTGCGCTCTCTGTCAGCAGCAGCAGAGTCCTGGTCCTGGACCGCTCAGGCCCGCGGCCCTGGTCCAGTCCAGGCCGTTTCTCATCATTATGAAGTGGCTATTAAAAACACATTAAAGGCGGCGGCGGCGTCTGAAAACAGGCCGCACTCTCAGAGGCTGAACCGTCGCTGCTGCCTCGTCGACAATGTCCTGCAGCCATCGTGAGCAGAGGTCAAAGGTTAAGGCCAGCAGTGATACATCATATTCCTGTAAACAGCTTATTGATCTGCGTGGATATGGATGACGAGTAGTTGGTTTAAATCCGGGCTGGGTGACCTCAGGACGTGTCAGGCAATTACATAATATAGAAAAAAAACCCAACAAAGAAACGCCTTTCAGGGACAGGATGATTGCACTGCGTCTGCAGCCGTTTGTTGGTGCAACGAACACAGACAGGAAAATTGTGGTCTAATTAAAGTGACAGTGTCGGCACCGCGGCCGTTAGAAAAGTGTCCGAGTCAAAAAGACGGTCATTTTCAACAAAATGCCCGTATTTAAACACATTCATGTAAAGACATATGTATGAAAAGGTCGCCCACCAGGGGGCACACATTCATTTCAGAACATCAACTGCTCTCCGCCCGATGACATCCATTCTGCGGTGAACAGCCAGATATAACCGCCCCCCCCATGACCCCTGCCACCGCCCTTTGTGTATGAACCCTCCGTACACAAAAGCGTCGGAGCCCTGTACGAGCGCGGCTCCGACGCCGCGTCGCTCCTTTGACCGTTTGTTTTTCACGGCCTGAACGGCGAGGTGCTGACAGCCGTAACCTATTCTATTATTAGCTCAATAAAAGTCCGGTTTAACGCACCACAGGGAGATATTCCATCAGGACGATGACAGCCAGACCTTTTCACGGGATATGGGGGGAAATTTTCCGCCTGACTAGAACAATCTAAGAAACATAAAAAGTCGGCGAGTGGAGAGACGTGAGCTCTGAAGGCTCCAGAGCAGCAGCAGCAGCAGCATCTGAAACGACCACGAGAGGGGACGTCCCGGGCCGGGGGGGGGGGGGGGGGC